CCATTTTCAGGAATTTTTCGGAATACAACGATTTCGATTGTATCTAAATAATAAGTGAACACACCGAGTTTGTCATAATGAATTGAAGTAATTATGTGTTTACTCGTCGGTTATAGACAGTTGAATTCGCTACAAATGTACTTTTTGAGTTAATTTATATCTATTATTTATACTTTTGCGAGTTGAGCAGTTTCCAGTTTTTGCTATAGATATACCAAGAGCATCCGGCTAGTACGTATAGTTCAGTTCCGATATTTGGACATCAAAACTGGTTTCTCATAAAACTGTCGGTCCATTTTGTCACTGTGTCGTTTTTCAAGAAACAAATTATTGAAATATTTGCGTCTTTTTTGGATTGTGAGCTACAAAGCCAAAGTCTGTATGTAAGTGCGCATCTTAACTTATTTGCTAGCTCATTTATCAAAAAGTGTCGCGTGTATACGACACGCGGTAGTTTGAAAGCGATGGGATTGGTTTTGCTGGGAAACTTTTGACTGGGGATGCAGTTTTTATAGTTGACACCCTAAATATGTTATATTGTTATAATTATACTTATTTCAGTATTATGTGTTCAAAGTATGTAAAAGCTTGTGGATTCGACGTATTCAAAGTTCAGTCTAAGTGTATTTCAATAAAAAGAATCCATTATTTTTAAATAGGGCTAACAAAGTCAATTTTACACATTTTATATTTATGTTTCTTTCACAATCTTCTGCATTTAACTGTCTGAAACTCGCCATCCCAATCACCCATCTCCAAGAGAAGAAAATAATCGCTTTCCAGAAAACCCTTGACTTTCAATTTCATTCCAACGTTTAACCAACCACAATTTCTAAGATTGAATTTTAGTGTTAAAAATATTTTTGTTGAGAATACGCCGTCTGGAAAACGAATAAATATTTTATTTTGTTAGAAAACTACGTGGAAATAAAAATAATCAGTTTGTGGGCTTTGGACGGTTTCGTTTTACATTCAACAAAACACTTTGTTATGTCGTATTTTTTAGCATTTTTAGATTTCACAGCAGGAAGGAATTTGAATATTTAAATTGAATTATTATAAAGTAAATGACAAATATAAAATTAAAATTGAGTTTTTCATAGTTTTTAATTGAGAACGTAATTCACTACAATTAAAGTTGCGAAAAACAAATATAAGATTTGAAGTTCAAAATAAGTTTAAATAATAAAAACTTATATGTTGCGTTTTAAAAAAATCTACAACAGAATTGTGAAATTGCATCTATTTTTGTTTTCTAATAACTGAGTTATGAGTCAATTTTTCAAACTGACTTTCAATTTACAGGCAACAGATTGATTGCGCCACTCATTTTATGTTAAAAATCCAGAAATTTGCCTCCCGACTCTTATTAGACTTTCCAATTTTTTTCTGTTTTGAAATTTTTATATATATTTAAAATTTGTCACTCTTTGTTGCAGATCTAAAATGAATGGCTCTACTTCTAAGTTGTCGTTGGCCAAATTGGGACTATACCCGAAACCAAAAACCCTAAAAGTAATGGTCTTGGGACAAGCCGGAGTAGGAAAATCAGGCAAGTACCATCAAACTTACTGTTTTTTAATTTTTTTAATAAAATACAAACACTAAATCTTTATTATTTAAATAATCAAACTGAATTAAATTGCGAGCCAATTGCAAATTTCTAAACTATTTCATACCAAGTAATATAAAAAAGGTCCCTGAATCTAATCATATAAATATCACGGCTATAAAAATCGGTGATTGATGATCCTTCGGTGTACATGTGTCCAAAACACGCATTAAAAAAACCTGATCACTAAATTTGAATGCAAAGCAAATTATTTCAGAGGCATACATTGAGGTTGTTTTCAGTGTTGATTATTCAGTTTAAGGGGTAGTTAAATAAACAGTTTTCCTAAATGCTGATTTTTAACGCAAAAATAGATAATTGCCCGCTTGTTTTGTGGTGATTGAAAAAGGTTCACATTCCATGTCAGAGCTAAAAATATATCTGTTACTCTCAGACCATGAATAGATGTAAGACAAAGTAAGTGTTGAAATGTTTCTGTTGTCAGATACACTTAGCCCATAGCAAAAAGACAGGGAGAAAGAATGGTTTGTCCAAAACTTCAAACAACAATCCAAGTTATAACAATCTAACGTATTTTTGTGAACAAAGCGTTTAAATCAGTGACGATCATTGAAACAATTTTCAATCATAAACTTCTAAACTTTCCTGCAACCTGTTTCATCTTTAATTTCTTCCAGTTATTCCGAGTTGGAGGCGTTATTGCGAACAGGAGCAAATGGAAAGTCAATAACTACAGATAAATAGTTATTCGCGTTTCTCAAATTAAATGTGTGATACTTTTCTTTTCGTGTTTTACTCCCTGATTGCATTATTCGATTTTTCTTCCAGCTGTTCTTTACTTTTAACTATGGTTTGAAGTATAAGTATTTTACAGGAAAACTGCCAGATTTTTAAGCATTTGATTAAAATTCGATATTAAATGAACAAAGCAAATATGTAGAAAAATTGTTATGTAACCCAAATTATAAAAGACATTAATTGATCTGATCTACTTACCGAATCCCGTCTGATCAATACGGACTGAGCACAATGTTGGTTCTTTAAAACTGGAACTAATATTCAGAATGGGCTAAAATTTCATATTGCTGAAGTAGAGTTGAGTATAGGTTCTAAAAATCAGTTCAATTTAAGAACGGCAGTCAGTTTAACTCAATTTAGTTTGCTTCGGGTCTAGCTAATGCATCGAAGTTGAGTTATTGTTATTAGGTTTGTTTTCAATTTCTCTTCGCCGGCTTTATGGAGTTTTTACCACCAGTTAACGTTCTGATTTACCGAATATCTTTCATATTCAAAGTATGAAAATGAAACGTTTTCTTTCGATTTTCTCACCGCTTATATTCAAATGACAATTCACTTTAAACTTTTTAAAACCTGCTGTTTCAATAGTAAATTATGTCCGACGGTTCTATAGCTTTAACTATTCGTCCGCATGACACAAAAGTTAAAATTATGGAAAAAAAGTGTAGCTAGAAAATGTATTTTCCGATAGAAAAATCTGTAAATCCTAAGCTTCGCTGACATATTCAGGTTCAGAAGTTCTTTTTAGAAGGTTTTTTTTTACCTGGTTAGAGCTCAGCAAAGCGAAAAGCTAAATTATTTTAATGCGCTTTTAAAATTCGTATATTTCCAGCGCTGCCTAACGTGAAACAGATTTATTTAACAGGAAAATGTAATTTGAAAATACTGTTTGGTATTGAGATTTGAAAATTTGTCTGTTCTATAGCATGTCTAGTTTTACTAAGCCTGAGATAATTCGATCTCAGATAGCCAGTTTTTGCAGTAACGTTTTGCAGATTTGACAGGTTGTCCTAAAAAATCGGATGATCGAAGCAATTAATTTTAAAACGCTCCCAAAACGAGGCGTTACCCGCTTCATTTACCTCCTGTTTCCATTTAAATACATATTTAGGACAATGTTTTTTGTGTACAATAACAGCGAATCTGGAAGCTTTTCAGTTGCCCCCTCTGTTTAAAATAACCGAAAAACAAAGACGCACATTTTTATTACAAATCAGATTTTTGGTCTTTTCTTAGAAAATACTATAGTACTACAATTTTACTGTTTCATTATTCTTTAGTTTAAATTTATTTAAAAAAAATTGTCCTTAAGTCCTTATGCCATCTTGACCCATTGACCATTTGCAGTAATTTGTGAAAAGAAGTTTATTTTAAAAATCAAATTGATAAATTACAAAATAAATTCACCGATAAGCAAAAAGCTTAGATGCTGGTGTAGCATGGAAAACGAGATTTAACTTTGATTGTTTTGGGTCAAATTCTAATAAAAAAAATGTCGAGTTGTTTACCCCAAAATGCCTACTGTAAATTCAATTATGAACATTTGGTCCCGACCGTGACAGGCTTATTGAAAATGTATTCGTATCGGTTCGAGAAACTACGCAGTTACGCTATAGAGTTTGTTCCTAAACAAAGTTTTCCGGTTAATTCTTTCGTGTCAATTTTTGCGGATAATTCAATAAAAGTTGTACAACAGGATGGCATTTAGGTCAGCGAATCAATAATAACAACCACAAATAAAAGTTTAAGGCTAAAACTTTTGATTAGTTCGGTAAATTCTATTACATTTTTAATAGGCCTACATTTATACTCGATTTATTCCGGCGGCGAAAAAAGCACCATGAAATATTGGAATGTCCTAAAATTATGTAAAAGTTCAATCTTGTGCTTTTTTCTCTCAGGAAACATTCCTTTCTGGAATTGACATTTACTGAAGTATCAGTAAATTTGTATTTTCTTAAACTTTTGGATTTTCTTAAACTCGGATGGGGAAACTGCCAATATTTCTGAATATTTATCCTAATTTTCAAACGCCGTCATTTTTTGTGCTACATTGTTTGAACAATTTAAACCAAATCCTTAATTTTGCAAACCCTTCTACGATAAAAAGGTTTACTTTGTGGACGTTGTTCTGAGACTCATGAGACCACTGAGAACATTCAGTGCTTAGTGTAAATGTTTAAATTAGGCCTGTGTTTTTTTTAACTAGGATTGAACTGAATTCTCAGCAGATCCCCGGAATTCTAAGTTTGATGCACAAAATCCGTATCTAGTTACAAGAATTATTAATGCAAATGTGTAAAATAAATCAAACTTTGAAGCCAATCAATATTCGATTATCATCAACTTCTGAATGTAAATAAGTTTGAATTAATAAGTTATCCAATAATTTCGGGACACCCAGTATACGTTTCTAATTGCTTTCTTTACCAACGTACTAACTAGATTGATAATTTTGAATTATTGAAGTTTCCTCATCTTATAACACATCTTATATGCAATATCCTGGAATGTTTGCTAAAAATTGAACTTAATTTTTTTGGGTACTTTGTTATAATGAATAATCTCATTAAGTAATGAAATCTATTTCTATTTCAACGTAATAATAAAATGGGTAAGTTAAATATAACCAACCGTATCCTTTTACATATTATCTTCTCGTCTACTCCGCTGCAGTAATTTTTTATATTTCTTTTAAAATAAATCACCTGCATGACAGCATAATTTAAATGGTCGAAAATACTTTTTATGTGTCCAAATAAACTTGTTGAGCCAATGGTTTGCAAACAGTTAAGCAGATTCAATGAAATGAATAAATCGTATTATTGATCCAAAAACGTTTGCTGATTCTAAATAATCAGAGTTAATAGTTTATTTAAACCAATTAAACTTGTTCCTGAATTGTGATTTTGCTTGCAAAATATACTTGCTAATTTTAAACTTTGCTCAGCAGAATTACTTTTTAGATGTTTCGGTTTATTTGAAGGTTTTTACCCGGTGTAGAAATTCCTCTTCAGTGAAACTTTACAGTCGATGTTGGAGTAGCTCGGAAAACATCCGAGCAAAAAGCATCATAGCAAAAAAACAGCTCGGAACTGAGATGTGAGTTATTATTTTTCATTCAAGTTTCTTTAGCATGAGAGGGTCAATGTATGTGTAAAAAGTACTTAATTACAATTTAAACAATTTTCTAATTTATTTATTTTTTCTAAATATAAACTGGTTTTTATATCATAAAACTGTACCCATTCGCAGATTTTAAAAGCAACTCTATGAAATAATTGTGCTTTTGTTATTTCGCTTTGTAAATGGTAATGTTCGTGGCTCCATCAGTCTTTTTGCAATAATAGCACTTAAAGCTAAGCCTTTTTACAAATTGAAACGCCTTTAAAAGGAATTAGCAAGGCCTTTTAAAACTTCGCGATCCAAAATAGCTGAATAGGAATTGACAAAGTGAAGTGTTCAACATCAATATGCAAAAATACCGACTTCATGTTTGTCACCTGCTGCAAGTTTCAAGTGTATTTAATAACAAAATTCTTAACAGTTTTTCTAGCTTCGAGCTTGTCGAAACGATTTATGGGGAAGTTTTCAATAAGTTGGATGATGGAATCGAGGAAAAGATGTAAATTATTTTGCGCATATTTGTCAGGGAAGTTTTCGAAGTTCTCAAACAAAACTCATAGAGCTTTCCTGTGGATTAGGGAAGTTTTTGTTAAGATTTGCAAGGCAACTAGATCGTTTTAACGTTCGACAACTTCCACATCTACTTCACAGTATTCTTTAGTGAAGCGAACAAATCCTTATTAATTTTAATGCATTTTAAACTTAAGCTATTTTACTATTGAAAGGATTAGAGTGGAAAATTAAACTGCACAACAAAATAGTCGTTAGGCGGCCAAATTTTCTCTAATTTTGGTTCTGAATAACTTTTGATTACTGGGAGCGAGAAGAAGAAATCAAACTGTGCGCTTTGGTTATTTCTGTTTGAAGCTATTTATATTCCCACTCTGTTAGTCAGAAAGTGTTTTTGAAGAAATGTTGTGCTACAGCTAAAGTTCCTACAGGGTGGAAAATGAAACAATGCAAAATTTATTTTATAAATATGTATATAAATTTATGAAAATTTGTTGAAAAATTGTTTTCGGATTCAAAACAAATAGATAGGCAAGATAGACCTC